TTGTAGTTTTAGTAGAGACGAGGTTTCACGACGTTGGCCAGGCTGGTCTTGAACTCCTGACCTCAGGTGATCTGCCCACCTCAACCTACCAAAGTGCTGGGAATACACGCTTGAGCCACTGCACCCAGAAAAGCTAATTTTTTAAAACACATACAATAAAATATTAGATTTTAAAAACTGTATGCCAAAAAAAAGGTGGAATTTGAAAAGGACCTTCAAGAATGGGTAAGACTTGGAAACATGACAATTGGCCATAGATGCAGTCCAAGTAAATAGTATAAGCAACAACCCAGGAGAAGTGGAGGAAGGGGAGAACATGTGCAGGGAGCAAAAACTGAGAGATAAGAATAAGGCATTGTTGCTGGGTGCAGTGGCTCACGCCTGTAATCCCAACACTTTGGGAGGCCGAGGCTGGCGGATCACAAGGTCAGGAGTTCCAGACCAGCCCGGCCAAGGTGGTGAAATCCCATCTCTACTAAAAATACAAAAAAAATTTGAGCCAGGCACAGTGGCAGGTTCCTGTAATCCCAGCTACTCAGGAGGCTGAGGCAGGGGAATCGCTTGAACCTGGGGGAGCAGGGGTTGCAGTGACCCAAGATCGAGCCATTGCACTCCAGCCTTGACAACAAGAGCAAAACTCCGCCTAAAAGAAGTATACAAAAATACAAAAAAACAAAATCAGCCCGGTGTGGTGGCATGCACCTGTAGTCTCAGCTACTTGGAAGACTGAGGCAGGCGAATTGCTTGAACCCAGGAGGCGGAGGTTGCAGTGACCCAAGATCACACTTAAAAACTTTACGCTGGGGGCAAGGCGCGAAAGCCCAACCCAAAAAAAAAAAAAAAAAAGAAAAAAAAGTTTACGCTTTAAAAGGTCATACCCACTGCACTCCAACCTGGGCGATACAGCGAGACTCCATCTCAAAAAAAAAATAACAAGTTAAATCTGAGGCAAATACCACAGAAAAGATTGCATTTAACAGAAGACCTTGGAAACTTCAGAGTGGAGAATTGGTAAGAACTGAGCTTAAAGATTAATTTAGGCAGAAATGTGTAAGATAAACTAGATAAAGGAGAAAAGCGAAGGCAAGAAAATCATAACATTAGTCCAAGCGGGATGAGAACTTGATTCAGAGTTAGGGGGTGGGGGTGGGGGCGGAGAGCTATGTGAAAGCCAAATAACACTAGATTTGAAAATAAATTTCTGAAAAAAACATGAAACATTAAAATTCACATGAGAAACAGAAAATCTACACAATCCAACAGCTATTTAAAAAAGCTGAAGCCGGGCACGGTGGCTCACACTTATAATCCCAGCACTTCAGGAGGCCAAGGTCAGCAGTTCAGGGCCAGCCTGGCCAATATGATGAAACCCCATCTCTACTAAAAATACAAAAATTAGCCAGGCACCATGGTACACGCCTGTAGTCCCAGCTACTCAGGAGGCTCAGGCAGAAGAATCCCTTGACCCTGGGAGGCAGAGGTTGCAGTGAGCCGAGATCCCGCCACTGCACTCCACCCTGGGCAACAGAGACAAAAAAAAAATGAAGTGTTATTCAAAGTTCTCTCCAGAAAAAAGTAGTAGTCACTACTGGTGACACCAACGTGTCAATGTAGTAAGTCACCAATGGTGACTACTACAATGATACCAATATGAATTCAGAATTGTCCCATAGCAGGAATAGAGAGCAGAAGAGTTATAAAATAGAATCAACAGATGTCGGCTACAAACAAGATATAAAGCAATGGGAAAAGGTTTGGGTTTGGTATGACATCAACAGAAATAAAGAACACCAAAGACACAAGTTTGCTAAGGAAAAGAAGCTCAGTTTGGACCAGAACAATCAGGTACAGATATGCATAAAGCAACTGAAAAAAACACAAGATTCAGAAGAGAAATAAAGAACAAAGAATTGAGAATTATTCCGACAGAAAGGCCTGAACAATAATTCTTTTTTTTTTTTTTTTTTTTTTT